TCTCAGGCGAGGATCTTGATCAGACCGCAGCGGCGTGCGATCAAGCAGCGAGCTTCGATTCTGGACTCGAAAAATTGACCGGCAAAGGAGATCGGACTCCGATCTGAGGCAGAACAGAGCTGAGGCCCCGAAGTCGCTGAGTGGTTGATGGTGAACGATCTTGGTTGGAGAAAATGGCGATGGCTGATCTTCTCGAAGATGGATTCATTGATTCGAAGGAGTCGTAGAGAGTTGTGTGTGAGTCTAGTGCTTCGATTTCATCAGATCGACATCGGATATGAACCGATCGACTTTGACGGCGATTCCGACGGCGGTGAAATCGAGATTTGATGGTGGTAGTGGTTTTGTATCTCTCGTAGAAGAGTACCAAGTGTTCGATGTAATGCCTCAAAGGCCAGTTGTCCATTATGCTCCTCCATACCCAGATGTTTATGGGTCGTCCTATGGTTATAGGAAGCCAGAGACTCACCAGGTCATACTGGAGAAGAAGAACTATGAGAGCGCTACTGAGTATGCTAACGACGGTAACTACAGAGTCTATGGAGCGGAAAATAATGCTGAAGCCGATGAATTTGTCAAAACCAAACATAGTGGCTACAAAGTCTACGAAGAGGATGTTGATGCTGAAGCCGATGACTTTATCAAGTACGAGCATAAGAAGTGCCAATTGGGCAAATCGATGTCCATGGATCGCTTTTGATGCTCGTGATCAAATGAAACGTCAAGGGCGCGGTTGAAGCAGCGGAGGAGGGTGGAGTCACCACAGAGAAAGAAATTAGTGACGATGAAGATGAGAAAACAAAGAAAGAAGAGTTTCTGGTATGTGTTTGTGATATGTGTTGAAAAACTCCCGCGGGCAGCGAAGGCAAGGTTGCCGGCCGGCTGCCCGCCGGAAAGAAAGGAGTATAGGCCTAAATCTTATAGCTCTGATACCATGTAGAAATTTAATGTATAAAGAGAAATAGAGAATTGTACTTTCTTCACTATCTACTTTTCATAACAATCAATTTTTGTAATTTCAGTTTTGGGGATCAAGAGGTATAGTTCCATGGAACAAGTCACTGAAGCCTACGAGAAGTTCTCATCCGAGTGGTACTAATGCTCTTCACTCTCTTAAATCTCATCTTTCAGTACATCAAATTTTGAATCTATATATATGCATGCATAGTGAAGTGTGATACTTTACAGCCTAGCCTTTTCTGGGTATCATTTCAATTATGTGTTATTTGTACTCTTATATTCTGTTTTAACCCTTGACAGTTTTATTTGTGACCTGTGAGATACAAAATTGGTAGGTTAACTTTGTGTCTTTACCTCTAAGATGCATGAACATGTGATAAGACACGCCTATGTGGACACGTAAATTTAAAAAAAAAAAATACAAGATACGACATGTTGGCACACATTCAAAATATATATTTTTGTTATATGTATATTATTAAATATTTAATATGTATTTTATGTCAAATATTTAATTTGATCAAATTTATCAACCTTCGGTATGCTATTTTAGTAAAAAAATTAATAATTTTAATTTTTTTTAAAAAATAGTACTCAGTGTGTCTCCAATGTGTCCCTAGGGTGCCCCTAGTGTGTCCTCAACGTGTCCTTGTGTGTCCTCAGTGTATCCCAACGTGTCCGTAGCGTGTCCAAAGTGTCCCAGCGTGTCCGTGTCCGTGTCCAACATGTGTCAGACACCGGTATACAAGAAATTGCATTTTTCGCAACGCAACAAAATATGTTGCTAAAAGGAAAAACTCGTTGACAAAAAGTTTTGCCGACACACGGAACTACGTCGGCAACCCGTAAGTAAAAGTGAGTCGGCAAAACATTTTGCCAATAAAGTTATCATTGCGTTAGTAAAAGTAATGCCTTTAGCGACAAACATAGTCATCGATAAAAGCTTTGATCCGCCAACAATAATTTATCTTGCGTCGGTAAAAATAGTTTAAATATGATGATTGTGTAGCACTTTTTCCGACACAAATTTGTGCCGACAACAAATATACTTTTAGCAACACAATATGAGTCGGTAAAAGTAAACTTTTGGCAATACATTTATCGACGAGATATTTGTCGAGAAAGCTTTACTTTTTAGCAACAACAAATTTGCATTGGCCAAAATAATTGAAAATCATTTGTATTTTTTATAAGATTTATTTTACAGAAAATTGATTGTCGCTAAGAATGCAAAAATCGCTGGCATATATATATTGCATATATGACAATAATTTTCTACAAAATGCTCCCCTATGATCCTTGTTATAGCACCAGGACCAAGGTAGAATACTAGTTGTAAATCCAACTTCTTTGGCAACAACAACACAATTTTACAGTAACAAAAAGTATTACATCCATATCACCATTACTTACCTCAACTACCCAACCAAAAATTATACTATAATCTCCTACACAACCCGCAACAGTAGGTACTAAACTAATGGATATAGTAACAGCAACATCAAAGAGGAATGTATACAAAAAGTATTGAAAACTGTAGGATGATCCACTTCACTGACACAACATGGCAAAAAAAGTTCTAGCCACCACCAAACTTGAAAGCCAAACCATTGAACATCAAAATGACCAAAGAGCATCAAGTAAGCCTGTCCATTATGAAGCAGTAGATAAGCATTACCAAGATGATACAGGTAAAACCAATCATAAAGCAACATGATAAGTGCAATGTGAAATAATGGAAACACAAAAAGAGTCAAAATTCGGCAATTCTTTTTGAAAAAATCAATGCTTGAATCAAATGTCAAAAATGGACTGTTTTACCAGTTTTCAGAGTCACCACCTAAATATTTTTGAAAAATTTAGGAAACCCGAGACTCGTGGTAAAAGCCATTAATCTGTCATCACCAAAGTATCTCGGCTCGAGAACTTAGGTACGAGAGGGGAAGGTCATGAATTGAGCACCCCACTCGCCCGATTAAAGATCGGCCTCTACTAATCATGATGTGTTTCTTATTTACATTATATGCCATTGTTCGGATTATTAACTATATTATTATGTGATGTGCACACAAGGTATAGACCAGTTTGCAAGAATTGGAACATTTGATCTCATGGTTTGTTTCGAAATTTTTTTGTGAGTTTGCCACTTGAAAAAGTGGGCTAAAATGCACATTTAGTCAAACCATCCCAATTCAAGCATCTAGCCTTCATCCATAGGCATTCAAACAATTACATCATTTAAGCAATTAGCCTTATGGTATTTATGCTTTGGACATGGCAACACAAACATCTGATGCAAGATGCTAAAGCAATAAAAAGCTCACCTAATACTCCAAGCTAAAATAGGCAAAATAGTTAGAAAAATATGCATGTTCCTAATTTAATGCAATATGACTAATATAATGCATACATTATGTATTTTATAGGCTCAGCTATGAGCATGGCATATGATTCTATTCAAGACATACGATAAAGCACATATTCAAGCAATGGATTTGAACATTTGATATTGGGTTAGCATGATGAACCGAATCTTTGGATGCATGTAAGACAATGAATACAAAACATAGAGTATGCTATTTTTAAATGATGCTCTATTCTAACCATCGTAAGCAAGTAAATAAAAGAGAGAAAGACGTGGGGTTGGAAGACATAACTTATTACATAATTGCCCTCGTGCAAGAGGCTGCGAATCAAAGTTCGGAAGTCCTAATTAAACTACTTATTACAAAACCGAATGAATAAATTAAAGCATTAACTAGCTAACTAGGCTATTACAACAAGGGTAATCATGACAAGTAATCTAACTATCTAAGTTTAATCAGCTAATAACAAGTATAAATAAACAATAATTATTAACAACAATAATTAATTGCAACGATAATAAACAAATTAATTACAACAATGATCATGATGTAAGCAATGATGCGCAGGGGTTGCATGCACGTGCACAATGTCCAAGAACAGCTCTGTCTGCCCCAGGCTTGCTCTGTTTCATCTTAGCCACTACCCTCTGTTTTCTGCAAAAAAACACTGCCGACCAAACATTGAGGACTAGTCAGCCCTCAATGAAACCCGACCAGGGCCTAAAGAAAGCCAGCCATGCCTCAATTTCATGTAAAATTCTGTTTTGTGCTCTGAAGTGAAAACAGTGCAGACAGAGTGTTCTGGACTCTGTTTGTCCCTCTCACACTTCTCTGTCATGGGAAAGCCTTGAGAGAAGGTTAGAATTGTTTTTAAAACCATCAATGAGCAAATTGATTGCTTGATGATTTCGATGTACTATTTGGACAAAAACTAATAAATGAAATCAACAACAACCACCCCTCCCTCCTATCATGAAGTGAACTCAAAAAGGGAGGTAGAGACGCTTCAAAGTTCATCCAAAACATCATGAATTGATGTTAGACGACCCTTGACACAATGGATCCGACATAACGTCCAGCCGAACCCCAAGCAATATAACTTATTTTTTTTATGTGAGTTGGTTCATTTTAAGCCACATTCATTAGTCTTTAACATCCTTTAATCTATTAAGTCCAAGGAAATTGTTATGTCCACTAAGTGAGAAATATGTCAATCAAGAGGTGATTCTCAACGTGAAAAAAAGACTACACCGTTGGCAATGAACCTCCGTAGAGATTAAGCCATTAAACGTAAATCGCTAGTTCACGTTTTGAATAACCGTCAACCGATTGAAACAACTCTCAAATGAAAGAGATGAATGGTAAGTTGATTATTAAAATGAGGTTCTTAAACATGGAAATGAATTGAAGAAAAACTTATAATAATATACTACATGCTATGCATGTAAACTTATGAGACAGCAACCAAGCTAATCAAAGCATGAACTATTTAAACAACTTAAGACAGCTCTAAAACAACCCTAAACAGATGAAAATCAGTGGCTAATAATGCATGAAAAGAGCCTAAAAAGCTAAACAACAAAGAGAGAAAACAAGACTAGTAAGCAAGAACAAGGAGGAGTGGCTAACCCCTCCACTTTTGAAACCTCAAAGCATGATTTTTAGCCCCTTTTTTAACTCTGAAAATCAGTGTAGAGAACAAAGAAAAAGAGTGTAGGAGTAAGGGTTTGAGCTATAGATAAAGGTGTAGAAAGAGTATAAATTCTCTCTATCCTTTTGGTAGCTCTCCAAACCCAAACTCAAATACTTAGAATAGAATCAAAGCAACAAGAAACTACAAGAATCATATAGCAAATGAAAGAGATGAAAGCAAAAGGGAAGATAGCAAGCTTATACCTCTCAAGAAAGTAAGCTTTTTGTTTGTGATCAAACTAGGCTCCAACACACTCTCAAGCTTGAATTATGGTGTTCAACGCTCAACCAAGGTTCCTAAACTAAGGTATGAAAGTGTATATGGTGTATGGATATAGGTTCAAGGTGATAGGTTAGCTCAAAGTGTTGCTTGCACAAGAAGAAGGAGAAGAAGGAGCTCTTAAGGTGGTATAGAGGCTTTCTTGAAAATTTTCAACCCTTAAAACAGAGGTATATGGTCGTTTTAATAGAAATTGAGCCAAAATATCATAAATATCTTCAAAAATGGACAGCTGGCGACCTCCCGCCCAAAACAGTGTTTCTCACTACCAAGGCCCGGCCGGCCCTTAATAGCCACAGTCGGCCCTCACTGAGGCACGGCCGGGCCTCAATGTGTTCCCCTGTTTTTTTGTTTCAACCTTAGCACAGGGTGGCACAATGTGTAAAAAAGGATTTCTTGGGTATAATCAATGGGAATATGAAAGGTTTGGGGTCGTTTTGAAGCTTAAACAAGGCTCCTTCGTTGAGACCTCGAACCATGCACAATACCACTTTCATCATTGAGTGTACCGGACAAAGCGCTCGATCCTTGCGGGTGGTCAAAAATGGGATGTCCACAGGGGGTAAGTAAGTTACAAATTAAAACGAAAAAATATACAGATTTACAAGAGGTAGCCAATTGCAATTGCATATACTTATCAATGAATATAAAAATTTATCCTGCAAAAAAAATAAATAAAATAATATAAAAAATTGAACTTTCATATGCACCTAAACATTCAATATTGCAATGATTTATAACTTTCTTCAGTTTAGTTCATAATCAAAATCTAATGAGCTCATACCAAAAACAGCACAAAAGACAAAACTAGAGAGCTAATGAATCATCAAAACAAAAAATTAATGGCAGAACAAATCATGAAGGTAACCAACAATTATCGCAATAAATCAAAATTTAAAACGATGGCAAATCCTGCCTTCAACAATGTCTACAAGATTCAAACACCCAGACTTGTGCATTGCTTGAAGAGTTTGAGTAAGTGCCTAAGCCAAAGTAGGCTTTTTCTCTTTCAGTTTTTCCTATTGATGTATAGGATGTGAGATTTTGTTTGATTGGCTATTTTAGCCAAAATCCTAGTTGCCAAACAAGGCCTAAATTAGATAATAAGTTCTATTAAGTGCACAGACAAAAGGTTCTTCCATGGATTTGAGCAACTTTAACTTCAGTCAAGCCACAAATTTTATTAAAAAAAAATGAAAAAAAAAAAGAAGAAGAAGAAGACGAAGAAGAAGAAGCAAACTAATAAGTAGAACACAACTAATTCAGTAGAACAAATAACACTAAGTTGTCAACAAGGTACTGAAACACTTACATGGATCCACCCAAGAGGAAAAAGCGAATATTTGTCTTGGACTTCAAAAATTTCTTCTTCATTCAAGGTCTGACACTGAACATTAAAAAATGTATTGATAAGTATCACTCAAATTATCAGTAGCTACAAGTAAAAAACTGCCATCGTGAAACCAATAGCCCACATGGACACTACATGACATGCTGCAGGTATGGGGCACGACTCGACATCGATGACACACACAGAAGCTTTCTATAAGATTTGATGCCACTGCTGTGGAACGGCTATGACTGAGAGTTCCCTCAAAACTTTAAATGTTTTCACAACAACAACGACAACAACAAAATTTCTTCTACTGTTATTTTATTTTTTTTCAAATATCGAGACTAACCATGATATTTTGCCCATGTTTTAAAATTGCAACTTATCAAAAAATATTTTCATCCAAACCCTTAATTTAAATTGCTTTCTTTTATAACCACCTCACCTCCATTTTAGGACACATTAACCAGTGAGGAATGTTGCTTCATTTGTATCAGTGGCAAAAGCATGATAAATATATCAAAATGGAAAATGGGACTATTCTGGCATTTTTAGATATCATATCACTTAATCTTAGAACCTTAGAAGCTTAGTTCTACCAAAAAAATACCAAAGTTAGGTATTCATTAATTTCAAGTTGACAACATCAAAAACTGACAAAGATGAAATATCAAGACAGAAATATACAAGACTTAGAATTAAAAAGAAAAAAAAAAAAGAAGAAAAGAAAGCAGGGGAGAACTAACAGCATCACAGTAATTAACACACTACAGAAAAATTATCTTACCGAATCTAAAGTTGACTCTTGCTTTGGAACTATCGATGTAGTGATATGGAACACCCTGTTTTTCTACAAAATGTGATCAAGTACATAAGTAACCACAAGTATAAAATATCTAAACATAGTTATCATTTACTTTTTGTATTCACAAATCTTGTACCAATTACCAATGAACCAGTAAGAACACCACATGTTTCTAAATTTTTTGCAGTATTTTCTCATGCCAATCTCAAAAAATCATCCATCATTTTTACTGGCTGCAATGAAAGTTAAATGAAACTAGCATCATGTTCAGCAAGAATAAAAAATCAACATAAAATGTTATGTAGGCATAAAATTGTAATCAAAACAGGAGGTGGAGAAGGTTGCCTAATATTTCCTAATATAAGAGGAGCATTACTTGCTTCATTATTTAAGGGAGGACAAGAGTCATCAGCTGGAAGTGACTGTCTTCCATCATCCAAAGACAGCAATGATTCCATGGTAGATTTACCCACTTCTGACTCACCATCTTTTACTTCCTGAAGGTCATATTGTGCAACCTCCTGATTCAGGATATAATCCAGGATAATACCAGGAAGAAAATGTTACAAAAGGGCCAAGTTTGGGGAGAAACGTAACATAAAGCAGCAATGGGATAATTAGATAGTTTTGGTACATAAGAATGCCTCAAGAAAAACAAATTAAAAGTATAAAACCAGGTAGTAACAGAAGTACAAGGTTGCTATAGCCCTGACCTTGAATTTTCATTTGGAGTCAAGTCAGTATTGCTTAGATAGTGAACCTGCATTGTACAATGGGATTAAACTTAAAAGAGTTCAAAAATCAATACAAAATGAAATGCAACCTGACAAATTTTACCTTTATCTCTGGGCTAGGCCCCAGCCATTCACCCCAAAGACCATTTGGGCCCAAAAAAGAGTGCCTAGGCAACGTTTCCTTATTTGGCAGAGGTAAATAATTAAGCATACACATACATACTTTCTTGCAAAGTCAGCAATTTGAAAGAAAGCCAGCAACATTCTCCTTGACATACCTTGAAAATCTAAGAAGTATGATATACAAGTCTATAACATTGTTCTCCTCCCGATAAATACTTGCCTGGACGTTAGAAATTTCCCAACAGATAAAGTACAGTACATCAGAAAGATAAGAGGGGAGGAAAATCAACAATATGATTACGACTTTATTTTGCTTAGGAAATTATATACTAACACTACCAAATTCAAGAATGTTTATGCTACAGAAGCAATCTTCAATATAACAATAGACGAAATTTTTTAATGTACTTGAACAAGTAGAAATATATTATTCACTTCAGAATCAATATCACTTTGCTAAAGCATCCTTTTATGAACAGAAGTGTCATTTGATACTGCTACCCTCCAGTGAACATACTTTCATTTTTTATGAATATTCCCCAATTGTCTAGGTCCACAGCAAACAGAACATAGCCATCCAAAGAAAAAAAGTAACTGCATGAATATCTGCATCACTGGAAAAAAAATAATAATAATAAAAAATACAGAAGCACATCAACGATCACAGAATAGATCCCCATATGCTGGATGAAACTTCTTTTTCTCTCATTAGTTCACTGCCAAAATGCAGCTTTACTTATTACAATGAGAACTATATCCAAAGTGAAACTATTTCAGTGCGGAGAGACTATTTCGCTGAGCAATTACAAAGTAAAAAAATAAATAAAAATCCCCAATGTATGACTTGATGGGTATTGCCCAAAATCTGATAAATAATCATCAAAGGGAAGCAAATAAATTATTTACTATTGCAATCAGAGCATCAAATTTCAATGAAAATAATCAGAATACATGAGATAACATACACAATCAATGAGTAGCCATACATGAAAAGACATAGACAATCAATGGATTAGGGCTTTGAAACTAATAAGAGAGAAAGGAAAAAGAGGGGGAAAGGTATCAAACCCTAAAATCAAACCTATTTACAACATGAAACCCATAAAACTCTAGTAATGAAACCACTTCAAACAAACCCATTTCAGAAATGAAGACAAAATTAAACTGAATGGGTAGAATAAACAAGCCTAGAGCAAGAGTTCACAGTTGGGGAAATAGAAGAAGGGGTAGAGAGAGAGAGAGAGAGAGAGAGAGACCGAGAGCCAGAGAGAGAGTGAGAGCAATACAGAGAGGGAGAGAGCAAGAGAGCGAAAGGGAGTGAAAAAGAGAGCGAACCTGTTAGCGGCGGTGGTGGTGTTGATTTGCGGCGTACGGGGACCGACGGTGCTGAGGATGCGCAGTCGTGAGGTTCGTTGGTGATTGATCTGTGTGAGAGAGAGGTTTTGTGGTTGTGTAGACACAGAGAGGCTAAATGTATGAGACAGAGGCACGAATATGAAATCATTCCGTCTATAAAATTTAGAGCTTTAGCGACTAAATGTTTTATTCGTCGGAAAATGTTAATATATAAGGAGTAAATAATTTTATACAGCGACTACTTTTTTCAGTCACCACAACTGAATAATTGCCGACTAATATAATTTTTAGTTGCCAATTCCACAATTTTTAGCCACTAAATTTTTTTCTCATCAAATTTGCTCTCCAAAAGTGTAATTTCTTGTAGTGGCCCAAGCAGTCTCACAACCGAAGAGAGAGCACCGTTTCCAAGTTGAAATCTTGCCGCTGCCGAAGAATGAAAATCGTACAGATTGACGAGGGGTTTACCTATCGTTTGAAAAAAAAAGAGAGGGAATTTTGAGAGGAAACTTTCCATGCCTCAATTTTTAGAGGCAGATCACCAAAAAAATATAAATAAATAGATAAATAAAAACAATTTTAGTTTTTTTTTAAAATTAAAACTAATTTGAGAAGTATAAAAAGCAAAAATATATTTTTAAAATTTTAAAAATTATTTATGACCTCCTAAAAGACAAAATTATACAAAAACAATAAGTATTTTTTTATTTTTCACCAATTTTATTTTTTTTTAGTTTTTTAGAAAAAAAAATTCTGAAACAAGTTTCTG